AGAGAGCACAAGTAGGCAGAGTGGCAGGCAGAGGGAGAGGGAGAAGCAGGCTCTTCATGGAGCAGGGAGCCAGACGTGGGGCTCGATCCCAGGACCCTGGGATCATGACCTGAGCCGAAGGCAGCTGCTTAACTGACTGAGCCACCCAGGTGCCCCAATAACATAGATTTTTACAAAATTACCATCGAGAGCCAGATCTGTAATTTCTCTCCGAACTCCTCCCGATGTGAACTCGCTCCATCGTCTTACAGCTGTCACTAGAATTTATGCTCACACCTACAAAACAGCTCATTGTGGTTCTCTACTGCATTCTCTGTTGTGGTCACTGGTTTTCAACTTTATATACATAGCGATTTTTTAAAATTAACTCCTTGTCTCTCTCTTTTCTCCCTACAGTTTTTTTTATCACACAGAGCAAGGGGTGGATTGAGAATTAGTGTGCTCTCATGTAAGCTCGCAGACCCTATTGAGGCAAGTAGGAATTTGTCTGGACAAGGAAATATTTAAAACAAGATGCTTTAAACTCTGGACAAGAATATGAGTTTCAACTCTCTTGAAAGTGGAAAATGAGTTTGAAAATTATGGATAAAATTGTATTTTCAAAGGTGGTAAAAATGTTTCTATAAATTGTTATTATGTTTCCTTCTGGAGTTGGTTAGGGGGTAAGTCTTAAAATCTCTCATTCACCCCAGCTCCTTTCTTAGATGGCTTTTTCTACTGACTTTGCCCTCTCTCCCCAAGTTGGGAAATGTTTGCGTGAATTAATAAACAAATTTAATCTTCCCCACAGATACCAATGATTTCTTTTCTTAAGCCCCTTTCCTCTTTGTCTTGTTTCCCTGGAGAAAGATCAGAACCTCCAAAAATGACCTCTCTGGAGCTTGGCGGTGGCTGAGACTGCTCTCCAGGAGCTGGTGGGTCATAGGTGAGGGCTTCTCGGTGGTGTAGGGTGGGAACAGCGGAAGCCTGCGGGCAGTGCTGGGCAGCAGCTTTGAACACTGAAGAGCTTCTCTGATCCTTGCCCTCTCTGATGACACATGGGGCCACCCAGCCCTTGTGAAGGCTGGCTGACTCGGGTGATATGTGTGAGTCTGAATCACCTGGGAGGAGACCAGCCTCAAAAGTTCTAGGAGTGGTGCCAGTCTGGGACCTGGAAGGGCAGGGCTGCTTGGACAGGACGCCGGCCCCCATACCACCCACTGCACTGGTCCTAGCCAAAGCCCCAGAGCGCCGTGCTCAGCCCCACACCATTCCGAGTCACTTGCTGCAGGGCACAGGCCTACCAGCATGGTCAGTGCTGGTCCATAGTCTGGGAGGTTTGGCATTTCCGGAACCCACCACAGGAGTGAAAAACAAAAAGTAAGTATCTGAAACTCTTACAAAGCTGGTGTTGGGAGATAAACTTGTCAGTAGTGTTGTCTCTGGCTTTTACAATAGGCAGCCATGGCCGAAGGGCATGAGCGGACCCTAGTGTGTCCGAATTGTGGTAATAAACGAGGCAGTGCAGGCCTTGACCTAGTGTGTGGACAGGGAGTGTGCCCGATAAAGAGCTTCCTTCCTCACTCCCCTGGGGCAGGGTATAGGTATGTTAAGCAAGGTGACTCCAGAAGGCAGACAGAGAAAGAAGGTGGGAGAGTGGTGGAGGGGGAGGGTTCAGGCTTGGGAGGAGAGAGAAGTGAGGGTGCCCACCTGGGGGACACATTCACACTCTCTGTTGATTAAGCAACAGTGGGTGTCCAAGAGCACAGGAGACCAGGAAGGACACCTGGCCCGGGTGGTATGTCAGGAATGGCTATGCCAGGCCTCCTGTGCCCTGATTTCTGGCAGCAGGTCCCAAAGCACCGATGCCTGGACCACAGGTGCAGGTACCAGCTTTGTGGGCTCCTACTGTCCAGGGGCTTCAGTTGCCCACTGGCCTCAATAGCATAATACAGATGCCTAATATACGCATTCTCAAATTAGGCTTATATGTCATACCCAGTGTTCCCCAGCCACAGTGGTGGGCCCTAGCAGGGCAGTGGAGGGATCTGAACCGCCTCTTCACTGCTACCTTGGTGACCTCTCAGTCCACCAGCATTTAACCACGGAAATCCCATGCCTGTCCCTGGAGGGGTCCCCAATTGCTGATTTCATCTGATGCCATAGGAATCTACAGGGCTAGGTGTCAGCCACACCGAATCAAAGGGGCTTGCCAAAGTTTAACCTACACATCTGTGAAATGAAGATGACAAATTGGTTGATATCTAAAATTTGGTTGTAGAATAGCCAGAATTCACGCACTCAAAGGCATAAAGGAAGAAGCATCCCATTCCATCACTACAAAATACACGAGTCCCTGTCCAGCACCTCCACTCGCCACTACTCTCCAGGAGCTGCTTTCCTTGGTCCTGGCATCTTCCCATCCACAGGTTTGCTTTGCTTTATGTAAATAGTGTGGTGACTCTAGGATTTTTCCTAATCTGCTAGTGGTTGCTTTCAATAAGATTCTCCTTTCCTGATTCTGCTGTGCACATGGCAGAATATGTGATATACATCACATAAAATTGACCATTTTAACCATTTTTAGGTGTAGAATTGAATGGCCTTAAATACATTCACAGTGTTGTGTAACTATCACCACATCCATCTCCGGAACTTTTTCATCTTCCCAAACTGACACTCTGTCCCTGTTAGACGATCGCTCTCCATTTCCACCTCTCCAGCCCCTAGTAACCTCTGATCCGCCTCATGTCCATGCGCTTGACAACTCTGGGTACTTCATATGATATGTGACTTTTTGTGTCTGGCTTCTTTCTCTGAGCACGATGTGTTTGAGGCTCACCCATGTCTCATCAGCCATCAGTGCTTCCCTCCTTCTTGCGGTTGAGGAGTTTCCCACTGTATGGATGGACATTTTGTTCACCCATTCATCTGTCTGTGGACATCTGGGCTGTTTCCGCCTTTTGGCTCTTGTGATCAGCCAATCACAGCTGCTGTCAGCATATGCTTACAAGCATCCTCATGTTTGTGTGTCTTTCCTGTCATATGTATTCATCTGTCTTTGTTAGAACATTTGGTTTGCAAGTACAGGTTACTCTATAATCTGTGTTTACACTTAATACTTTGTAATAAAACTTTTTACCTTATTCAATATTTGACCTAACTTTAATGGCTGTACATCTTTTCATTATATGAATGTAGGGTAATGAATGTAATTAATCCAATACTGTTAGACATTTAAGATGTTCCCCATTTGTTGCTATTGGAAATGACAGCTGTAGCTAAATTTTTATCCGCATTCTTAATTATTTCCTTGGGATAAGTTTCTGGACATTAAATTGCTACAATAATATTAACAGCTAACATTATTGAGTGCTTTCAATGCGACAGACACTATAATAAACACTAATAGAATGCAGTTATTATTTTATTTTTTTTTGAAGATTTTATTTATTTATTTGACAGAGAGTGAGCACAAGCAGGGGGAGGGGCAGAGGGAGAGGGAGAAGCAGACTCCCCACTGAGCAACGAGCCTGACCTGGGGTTCGATCTCAGGACCCTGGGATCATGACCCAAGCTGAAGGCAGGTGCTTAACCAATTGAGCCACTCAGGCGCCCCTAGAACTCAATTTATACAAGGACTGTTAGTTTGCCCATTTTACAGATGGGACCTGAAGGCCCAGCTGCATGGAGATGGTTGTGTGGGCAGGCTCTGTTACTGTAGGCTCATACTCTATGTGCTGCTTCCAGGATGGTCTCTGGCTCTGAGCTTCTCCATCTCTGGTTCTCCTTTTGTAAATGGGGATAACAATACCAACTTCTCTTGGTGACTGTCACGACTGAGTACATCCATATATGTCAGGTGCTTGGACTCACACAACCCAGTGCATGATCAGGGAGTATGTTATTGTAAATGTTGAAGGAGAGCAGTTTCACTGTCACTCATATTTGGCAATGTTTTTGTTGTGTGAATCCTATTCTGCTTTTATAGTTTGATTTTTTTCCATAATTGATTTTTTTTTTTTTTAAAGTAGGCTCCACGCCCAAGGTGTGGCTTGAACTCATGACCCTGAGATTAAGAGTTGTGTGCTCGGGGTGCCTGGGTGGCTCCGTTGGTTGAGCATCCAACTCTTGGTTTTGGCTCAGGTCATGATCTCAGGATCAAGCCCTGCGTTGGGCTCAGTGCTCAGCACAGAGTCTGCTTGAGATTCTCTCTCTCTCTCTCCCTCTGCCCCTCCCCCCACGCTCTCTCTCTCTCAAATAAATAAATAAGTCTTTAAAAAAAAAAAGAGTCGTGTGCTCTACCAACTGGGCCAGCCAGGCATCCCTATAGTTGAATTATTATACTTACTTTATTCTTTCTCTTTAAAAATTTTTTTTTAAAGATTTTATTTATTTATTTATTGGAGAGCAAGCGAGAGAGAAACAGCATGAGAGAGGAGAGGGTCAGAGGGAGAAGCAGGCTCCCCGCTGAGCCGGGAGCC